TGATGATAATGGTGGATGATAGGGATATTTATAGGAATTGAACATAATTCAATTGCCCAAAAACCTATCTGTTATTTAGTTATTGGGAGGGGTATTTTGGTCATTGTAAAGTTACTTATAACTTTATCCAAAATGCCCCATAAACTAGTTGTTATATAACTATTGGGGGCATTTATGTCATTTTATCAGCCCCCATAAGCAAAATACAGAAATACCCCCATAATATGCTTATTTATAGCTGTTGGAGGGGTATTTTTATAAACCCCCCAAAAGTTGAAGCTAGTCGTTGGGCCCCTTTGAAAGGGGGGCCCAATGACTATATTCTTGAGCGGGCTGAGCGCGGCTTGTTATGGGCTTGGTGGGTGGCACGACACGTGTTATCGTACCGTGTCGTGCCGGCCCATGGGCCTCAAACCCCAGGCCCGGCACGACACGGACCGTTAGCCGTCGTGTCGGGCTGGGCCGCGGGCAACCTGACTTGATTTACACCTCTATAATTAGACCCAAGTTGTATGGCCTAAATACAACCCGCAACCCAAAAACTCAATCCCGATCCATGCAAAAATTAGGATTGGATGAGGTTAGGCCCACCCAAGTTGCAACACTAACCAAGACAAAATATAGTTTGATTTGACTTTAGTCAATTAGGTGCAACACTATAAAAAAAGGTGCAACCACATTTGGGCGAATGAGTATATATTTCTACAAATACAAATATGTAGAGGGTAAAATTTGACAACTTGCTTTACCCCTTTTCTCATAGTTCAGTTTGGAATGAATACAAATACAAACAAGTAGAGTGTAAAACCTTGTATTTTTTATGCATTTATACTATACACATTTGTATTTGTTCTAAATTGAGATGGAACAATGAGTATTTATTGGAAATCATAAGAGCATTTTCTAAAAATTCCCCATAATAAAACCTAGAGATTAAACTACCAAACTTTGTAATCATTTGTCATGTTGTTTGGGGCCTGAGAAAATAAAGAAAATTTTACTATATATATACTAATTTAAAAAGCATGAATATTCTCGTTAATATTTTTTGTAATTTTTTAGTACTAAATTTACCCCTCCATATTTATTACATTTATTGATAAAAAATGAGGGCAAAAGGGTAATCAGTTATTAATAAAAAAATGAAAAGAAATAATTATAAGATATTCAATGCATTCAATTTCCTCTCATTAAATCCAACACTTAAGGTATTAATTTGCATTCATCTTCGTTGAATCATATATTTAAGGCAATTTTATTTCTTCTCAACATTAAATTATATTAATTAAATTCATATATAATAAATTAATAATTCCAATAATATAAAAAATACTTTTAAAATCTACTTGAAAAAAATATGTTTTCATCTAGGCAGTGGTAAGAAATTAAACCATTTCGGGTCAAATGGGCCGACCATGTTGTCACAATTAAATAATAAAATTAAAAAATAGATAAAATGCAAAAATATAAAAAATTAAAAAAATGGGAACATTTTTAGCATCAAATATTCGACATAGTAAACATTAATAAGTATGATAAATAAGAAATATTTATATTAATGATGGAAATGGAATGTAAAATTTAAAACCAATTAGAAATAAAACTATTTTCATATCCTCTCTCATTAAATCACATATTAAGTTATATTCTCTCATTTAACCCACAAAATTAATTTTAATATTATAAAAATAAATATTTTGAAAATTAATTTAAAAATAAAATTATTTTCTTCCCTTCCAATGATGGGTAAGTAATTCAACCATTTTGAATCAAATGGGTTAATAAATAATATCATATTTTATAATAAAAATTAAAATATATAATAGAAAAAAATAAAAAAAATTGGACATATCTCTAATATTGCATATTCATTATACTGAATAAAAACACATATGAAATGTAAAGTAATTTTATTAATGATGAAAATGGAATAAAAAAGTTAAAATCAACCTATAAATGAAATGATGTCATAGTCAAATAATAAATTTTAAAAAATAGAAAATATAAATAATAACAAAAAATATAAAAAATTTTGGAAACATATCTAATGTTACATATTTATAAAAATAAATATTGGGTACATCTCTAATACTATACATTCATTATCAATGATGAAAATGTAATATAAAATTTAGAGCCAACCTATAAAATCAAATTATTTTCCTTTTTGGGTTGTGGATTAGTGGTTTGAGTCAAATGGATTATCCGATGATATGATAGTTAAATAATAAATCTTTACAGAATAAAAAGTAGAAGTAATCAAAATAATATATAAAAAGTTATATATTAATTATGCCAAACAAAAATTAAGTATAATAATTAAAAATTATTTATATAATGTGGATGCTATATAATTTAAAAAAAATCCAAAAGTAAAGCTATTTTCTTACCTAGATGGTAGGTCAATGATCCAACTTTTCAAAGAAACTCATGATGTCATAATTGAATAATAAATATTAAAAAAAATAAAACACAAAATTCTATCACATTTTGGAATGTTATATATTCACCATAATAAATAAAAATATTTGTTAAAATAAAATTTATTTTTATTTATGGAAAAAATTAATGATACAAAACTTAACAACAACAACAATAATAATAAAAATAGTAATAATAATTGTTATTGTAATTTAAAATTTTCATATGCAATGCATGTGCGCATTTATTACAAGTATTTGAGTTTTTTAATCATATTGTTATTTTTATTAATTTTTAATTTTTATCTTAATTATGATATATCTAAAATTCAAATAATTAATGTGAAAAAAATTATCACATGCAAATGCATGTGTTTAATTACTAGCAAAGACAAAAGTTTAAATGACATATATAAAGAAGGGAGAATGGATAAAGGTCAAAGGTTTTACAAAGAGAAACATGCCTGCTACAATCGCTTATTTTTTCTTTACTTGGTTTATACAATTTTATATTATGTTTTTTGTGACTTAAATGCGCAATGATATTTATTCTAATGTTATAATGAATGTTTAATAACTAATTTAGTGTTTCTAGAAAACTTTCATGGTTTTGTAGTTTTTGCTATGTTTGGCATGTATTTCCACACAGTATTTCCACTGCTTACAAGTTGGGAAGACTGATTTCCGGTCCATTTTCGCTTGGTGCATGAAAAATATAGTCGCCAAAAGACGGAACACCGAAAAGGCCAAAAGACCCAATTTTTTGTTGATTTCGGAAAGCTCCAAATGATGCTTTTCGCGTCTTTCACATTTTATTCTCGTGTAGAAAGACATGCGTATGCCAAATGTGCTCCGAGCTGCTTGGATCTTCATGCAAAAACTCAATGTGTCTTTTGACTGTTTTAGCTATCAGAAGATCGTCCCCAAAAGATGCGCCAAATGGGCCCTTAGAAAAATATCTATAAAATTTCTCCAACCCAATACATTGAAACATTCATCGATATTGATATTACAAACCATATTTGTATGTAAAACCTCTTATGGTGCAATGGATACATTTAACCATATTTGAACCAATACTCCGTGTTCATTTGATTCGCAACCATAATCGAAATTGGAATTGGAATCAAAATTCTTTAGAGTCGAAATCGGAATGGTCCATTTCTATAATCTGTATGGTTTAGACAATAATGGGTATGAGAATTAAAATCAATAGGAATGGAATTTCATTCACAAGGGAGGGACAGGGAATGACCATTCCAGTAGGAATGGGAATGGGATTCCAATTCTACCCAATCAAACAGTTGAAACCAAAATAGCCCATTCCGATTCCAATTCCAAAACCTATATTTCTATAAACCAAATGGAGCCTTAATTTACCATGAAGAATAATATTAAAGCCTTTGAGCTTTTAGGGTAGAACAGTATGGCAAACACTTTGTATAAGCTGAGGATTTGTGTGCTTATTTGGGAGGGCTGAAAATGCAATGGCTTTTGGCTATTTGAGGTGGGTTCCAGACGGATAGCCTAAATTCACGAGAAATTTGAAGAGCCCAGATCAATCAATTGCATGCTAGACATTTAGAGGGTTGTCTACTTCAGCCTGTTAAGTAGCTTATCCATAGCACTTTAAAGCACATGAATCAGTTTAAAGATATAGTGTATGCAAATATTGTCCAGTTCAGTGCTTGATGCAAACTTTTTTTTAGTCAAATTGTTCAATGTAAAAAGGGTGGACTTCAGCCAATTCACATTTATACCATACCTATCACAAACTAAAAAAGGACCATTTGACAATAGAACAAAATTATTATTAAAAAAAAAACCAAATTTGCATTAAAAATAAAYCCCAAACACTTTTTTGGATGAAAGTCCAAATGTTAAATGCAAAAAAAAAAAAAAAAGAAGTGCATGGAAGGCTACAAATAGGCATCAGACCTTTTTTTTGTGCTAAAAAGTGTGGATTTTTTCCATAAGGCTGCATTCGGTTGTCGGGCAAATAAATTTGTACTGATGCAAAATTATGGCAGTGCAAATGATTTGGGTGTAAATTCTTATTTAATTTTTTATTTCAAATCTTACCTTATTTAGTTTGATTTCAGTACAAATGAAGTAAAATAACACCCGAAGGCCCAAGCAGAATATAGTAAAACCCAAAACATAACTAAATCAGAATTTGTATTCTCTTCAATTGCACTCTATGCATTTATACTAGTGCAAATGGAATTACATTGCAACCAAACACAACTTAAAGAGCAATTTTACTCCAATGAATCAAATCAAATGAATTTAGGGTCAAAGACATCAAACCCTTGATGGCCCAACCGGTTCAATCACTTGTACCGTCCAGGTCTAGTCGGGTTTAGACTTTAGAGTGCCAAGCGTTGAGCAAACCAGCGTCTTGAAAGTTGAAACTACAATAGCATATTGGTAATTGAACCAATGACCAAAAGGCTAAAGGTCATTTCAAATTCACAACACCAAAAAGACAAAAGTGCCACCTAAGCCACCTGACGAGTCACAAACCCACAGGCAACACACGTTCTTCACTCCCGCAACCGCAATGCCGCGAAAGGCATCGAGCGTCATCAACGCAAGCATCTCCCGATTCTTCGCAACGCTAAAGAACCATTTGTTTTCCCCCCAAAGTTTCTTCTAGACACTGACTGGCAATTCCGAAATTACGCCCGAAACCAGTGTCAAATTACATCTCGCCCCTCGCTTTATTTTTTTTTCCCCCTAATCTCCTGTTCGAGGAGCTCAAGATTTCAACCAAGAGGGAAGAGACTGTGATTTTGGGAGACAAGAAGCGGAGACGGATTGAAAACATATAAAAGAGGAGGGAAGGGGGAGGTGGAACGAAAAAACACGCCACTTCAAAGTGTTCTTTCTTCGGTTTGCTTCTTTTTGAAGCTTACTTCGCTATCGAAGCCCGGGAATTAGGGTTTAGGGGGGTTTTCTAGGGTTTTGGGGCTTGTTTCGGTTCGATTCGGGACTGTGTTAGAGCTTGAGGGCTGTGTTCAACTATGGCCGCCGAGAAGCTTCTGGATTTGAGCCAGCCGATCGATGTGCCCTTGCTCGATGCCACGGTCGCGGCGTTCTATGGGACGGGATCTAAGGAGGAGGTGAGCATTTCAATTCTTGTATGCGTTGTGATTGCTGTTTGATGGAGTTCGTGATTGATATATGCTTCTGTTCTTGGGTTCGTGGTTCTGACGGAGTGGAAAGAGGGATGCTTGTGCTTTTTGTTGTTTGTTGTTTTTTTTTTTGGGGGGGGGGGAAGGAGGGGTTCTTGTTGCTTGGGTTATACTGGTGCGGAAAAATGTATTTTTTTAATCATGGAAAACATTTCAATGTTAGTACTTTGTTCTTTGAGCGTTCGAAATTCTTTGGGATTATCTATTACTATGTGCCGTTTTTTTTTTGATTTTTGGTGGATTTGATTCTGATTTGGAATGGGAAACACATACGAGAAGATAATAAATTTTGAATCCATTTAAATGGGAAATAGCATTTGTACTATTTTGGTTTTAGAATTCTATTTTCTTAAACTGGAGTTGGTTAAAGCTACTGTAAATGCCAAAGTCAGTTTGGGGGATCTGATTGGTATTAAATTTCCGCATTTTACTGTAGTTTATGAAATTGCTGTATAAGCTTTTCAACACGAATCCTCTCCTTCTTCCCTTTTTAGATGTTCTTAAGGTTTGCAACACGGCAGAAACCCCATTTTTTGTATTGCACGTCTAGAAGATTTATTGGTAACTACAGACATCTTTATTTACTCCCCTCAAAGAAAATAAATATTATGCAAAATTTTTCCTTACTCCTTTGTTTCTTCTACTCTCTTGTGGTGTTTCAGAGATCAGCTGCCGACCGGATATTGCGGGATTTGCAGAACAATCCAGATACATGGCTGCAAGTAGTTCACATTCTACAAAACACACAGAACCTAAACACCAAGTTCTTTGCCCTTCAGGTTAGTTAATAGCATTCACTTTGTGTTATATAGAATTTTACAGGTTTGATTTGTTTCCTGGAACCAAAGCTTTTGCATCGATCAAGAGGGTGGTATTATCTCCATAAAGGAATATCTTCTGAGATATAAAGTGGATTATACTGGAAACATGATGGGATTTTCCTTTGAGGCTATTTTTAGTGAGACAGCTTATATTGCTGCTAGCACTGTTTATTCTTAAATGGGTGAGGAGATCTGTCTTCCTTAGATGATTTCTTCATGTATTATGATTGTTTTGGGAGTTTCATTGTTCTTCTGCTTGAAAAGGAAATGGAGAAGATTATTATGGGAGGAGGAAGTCATTGAGAATGTTTTGTGCAATATTAGATGATGCTGTTGCTTGAAGTCTGAAAGATGCACAACTATCAACTCTTATTCTTATATGATGGCAACAGCATCTTTATGCTAATAGAAGATTTTAGGAAGAAGTCATTGACTAAATTTGAATCTATTGTCCCATGTTTATGAACTAAAATGCAACTCATTCAATGGGGATCATAAGTTTCATGAAGGAAGAGTGGGGGATGTCATCAATAATAATTTAGGTTTATTTATGTCCATGCCTTTAGGTTTTTTAGTACCACAATGATCTCTGATATACTATTTAGCTGAGTATACTGTTTAGTGTCTTTGGTTGAACCCAATGCCATCAAGATACAATGCTAACAATCAAGATACATGATTGTTTTCCCAAGAAAACAATCATGTATCCACAGAAATGAAGTCTACAACAAATTCCTCTTGGCCTCAAAAAGTGATGAGATCTGCAAATTCGGTAGTTTCCCAAAGGCTACCCACCATCTGGTTTCTGAGTTGGGGTTCACAGAAAACATATGACTGGGTTCCACAAGCCAGACATAACTTAGATTTATTGAAAACCTTTCTTCCCGTTTAAGAAGGGCTGCTTGCCTCCATTTATGGTTTGTGGAGAACAAAAAGAGGGATATTATCTCTGAACATGTTCCTAGTCTGTACCTGTCCACCTGTTCTGTAAGATGCATTGATAAAATGATCAGTTAGAAAGTGAAGGAGAGCTAGTGCCAACTGGCTCAGTTTGGTATGTTTTCTGGCTGGTTGTAGGACTTGGGATCAAATTCCGCTGTCACCAGGGTTGGGGGGGTTGTGGGTAGGGGTGGGATGCCTCCCATTGTGTAGCCCCCTGAAGCCAAAAAAAAAGTGAAGGAGAAATCCCTCTCTCTCTCTCTCTCTCTCTCGGATGCCTATCCTTGTTGCTTTAGCAAAAATTCCTCTCCTGTCTGATTCTGTGATTCTGTCAATGCACTGCAACCTCTTCCACATAGAGAAAAGCAGGTGCATATGCCCCATATACCATTATCTTTTAGAAGCAGATTTATGTATCTTATCATGTTGTCAATATTATGAGGCAATGGCTAGTTGTATTGGGCATCTTGGCTTCTGTAGGCAACTATGTGTTCTGATGGGTCAACCACAAAATGATACGTAAAATTTAGCTAATGCAATTTTATATGTCAATTTATATAGACCAAATAGGGAAGGACTACTAGTGGGAATTGGGAAGTGGGAAGTGGCCATTGTGTACTTTCATGGAAGGACTATTGGTGTTGGGATGATCCTCCAATGGCCTTATTCCCTGATCTGTTTGAGGTTGCTGTAAATAAGGATGCAACAGTGGCTGATTACTTGGAGAGACAAAATGGACATTGTACTTGGAACCCTCATTTCAGGAGGAATTTAAATGATCGGGAGGTGGAGTCTTTGGTCAACTTGCTGCAGATTTTGTATGACTCCAAGGTATCTGGAATAGGGGAGGACAAAAGGAAGTGGCTGTTTGAGAAGTGGGGTTCCTCTCAGTGGAATCCTCTTTTAACTGCTTATCAAGGGAGGATACCTCTCCCTTTCCGAGTGACAGGATCTTGGATTAGGTCTGTACCATCAATGCTGGCTTTCTTTGCTTGGTCTGCAGTGCTGGTCAAGATTCCAACCAGGGAAATTTTAATTAGAAGAGGCTTAGAGGTGGCGGATCTGCCTTGCACATTATGTAATGGAAATGTGGTGCTAGCCATCTTCTATTACACTGACTTTACTTACTAGATTTGGTTAAGATTGCTGGAACTATTTGGAGTTAAAATGTGCTTCCTGGCTGATGTGAAGGGTTTCATAGAGGCTTGGTTCTTAGGAGGCCTAAGCAGGGCTGGAAAGGTAGCATGGAGCATTCCCCCCTCTGCAGTTTTCTGGGCAGTGTTGTGTGAAAGAAATAACAGAGTTTTTGAAGGGAGGTAGAAGTCAAAAGAATAGGTGCTCAACAGGATTATGGGGATGGTGCTTTCGTGGTTGGCAAATCACTCACTATTGAGAAGCAGACACACCTGTTCTTTTTTTTGAGCTTGATTTCCTTTTTGTAAGAAGCATATAGTGTTTTTTTGGCTGTTGGGGGATGTCTATTTTGAGTTTTACTGTTTATTCCACTATACAGTTCTCATTGTACAGGGGCCCTATTGCATTTTGGCTATTTGATCTCAATGAAATACTTTACCTTACAGGTAAAAAAAGACTTCAAATATGCATGCAATAAAAGAATGCTATAAGCATAAAATGTACTGTTCACGTTTTGTGAAGAAAGAGTGCAACTTTAACTTTTTAATACAGTTGCCTTCCTTGTTCATGGCAATATCATACCAACATACTATTGATCGGAAGATCTAAAAGAGTCCCTTGGTTGTTTTTTCTTATGCTTTGTTTCTATATTATATATTCAGCACGTGTCATTTGGAATGCTTAAAAAACAAATAGGCATAAAACCAGTGTTTTAAAAATGCAGGGTGCAAAAAAAGCACAAGGGGCATTTTGTGCCTGAGGTGCAAGGCAAGGCACATGCCTTTCTGAGGCAAGGTGCAAAATTGCAAAATATGCTAAAAATAAAAAATGCCAAAAAATTAGAAAAATATGCAACATATAAAAATATTAAACGCAATATTAATTAAAAATATAAACTTAATTTTTTATCAGCAAGAAAAGATTAATTATATTAATAAGTGAAAGACAAGTTTTGCATTAGAATGGGTATCCAGTCACCCAAGAATTCTTAAACCTGTAACAGCATTAAAGCAATGCCTAAGAACAAAATTGCAATAAAGCCCAAAACAACTGCTCCTATAGACCCCCTGCTTTGCTAAAGTGTTGGCCATCCCATTTGCAGTCCTTCTTGTCTAGGTAAAAGAGGCATTGGGGTCCCTTGTCAGGCTTTCTATCTCCCTTGAGCATGTCTATAATCATCTTTGAATCCCCTTCAACTTCCAAATTTCTGAAGTTTGATTGCTTAGCTAATTTTAAGCCTTGTAACAGTGCCATCGGTTTGGCCTTTAGTGAGTCCCCTACCCCTATAGGTCCCAAGTACATAGCCAACACTTCACCTGAGAAACCTCTAAACACACCGCCAATACCTCCGCCATCCCCGGGTTTCCCATAGAGCTCCTGTCAAAGTTTAACCTTATTTTATTAATTTATTCCTTGCTGGGGGCTTCCATTCTATCATCTTTCTTTCCTTTTCTTTAGAGGAGTTTGCAACTTCATGCCACACCCCTATTAATATCAGTCACTATAAAGATTTGAAGGAGATCAAGAGTGTTTATCCACTGTGCAACTTTTATTTTTATTTTTAAAATATAAACTTAAAAAAAAACCTATTATCTCAAATTAAAATACATAAACACAACACGTAAAGCATATTTAAAATGAACATATAAAAATAAAATCAAGCATGACATCTAAAATATATTCAAGCATGTAAAACTCTCAATCTCTTTCTTTTTCCCCTAAATGCATTACTCCAAATAGCGAATGTGATGTTAAACAATATGCATTCCTGATTCTATGAGCTGCTTTTGTACCAATACCCTGGAGGCAAGCCCAAACAAGTCCATATCAGGGTCTTAAATTTTTATTCCCAGACTCCTTGTAAAAAGGGCTTCATAACTTTAAGGCCTTGTTCGTTTTTTGGGAAGTGGGAGCATTTAAATTGGTGGGTCCCACAAAAAACAAATAAACCTGCATTTTTTGATCAATAATAGAATTTCATTAAAAATAGTATAGAACAATTACAAGGGCAAGAGAGATAAATTTCATTAAAAATAAGCCTGCATTCATATTTCAGAATTAGTGTGCCCCATGGAAAAGAACGATTCTTGAGTGGATCATTTACTTGGGCAAGTAACACCTTCCTTAGACTTGGGTAAATTACTTACCAGCCTTGCAGAAAATTGCTAATATGTGATGGGACACTATTTTCCCTTCAATAATGTGACTTTTTTGGATATAATAGTCACTATACAACTTTACCTGGGGAATAAAAGAACATTGGTAAGTGCACTTATCCGGGTAAGTGCTTCCTAGGAAACATTTGCTAGGATAAGTGCATTTACCCAAGTAAATGGATTATTAAGACGCGAATGAGGCCTAAGTGTCTTTTAAAAATATCTTTTATTAGGATGAATGAATGAGCAACATTAGCAAATATGGGGTTTGTGGAGCCCTCCCCAGCTGCTAAGCATAAAAAAAGAAAAAATGTGCAATTTTTCAAAAGGTGCGAGCTTGGGCTGAAGCACAAGGTGCACCGGACATGCACCTACCCTAAAATGCACCTTGCCTAAGTGCGTAGGCACGCCTTTTAAACTACACAAAACAAAATAAAGGCTAAAGTATATATATATATGTATTGTATGTATATTATGAATAATATTTTTCTTACAGTTAAGAGATTAATATATGGCTATTATCCACATTTTGTTCAAGCTATGTTGGGAAAGTGGCAATGGAAATTTGGCATCAAAAGACATTTATCAAAAAAGGCTTAGAAAGAGATGCACTGTGGATGAAGTATGTGTATGGAAGTTTGAATGATAAACAGGGGAGATAAGATCGTCTTATTTGGGTTTATGTATGAAGGGTAGTATGATTTTTTTACAAAGTGTTAGGACAGTCCTCAATGGATTTAGTAGGAGATGGTTCTAGAATTAGATCTTGGGAAGATGAATGGTGTATTATTGGCTAGTTGTGTAATTTCTGTTCAAAATTATACAGGTTTTTGGAAAGAGAAATGTAGAATGCATCAATTTGCTAAACAAATTAGAGGAGCTGAAGGTCAATGTGTGGAATTGTGATTCATGGATGTGGAACCGTGGAGACAGTGTAAATGGCATTCATTTTATGAAGCACTCATCAGAGATCAGGTGGAAGATTCTTCTTTGAAGCTACTTTTAGATAATTCAATTCCTCCAAGAATGGAGACATTGCATGGTTGCCATCTGTGTATAGCATATTGACTACAAATCATCTAATGTCAAAGGGGCTTTGTTTTGTCAAAGATGTGAATGCTGTATAAAAATGATGAGGCAGATGTTGAAATTTCTTTTTCTATTAAAAATGGTGAAATCTCATTGCCTAAAACCCTAACATAACCCTCTTTTCTTTTGTTGAAATTCTTTTTTCTATTAAAAATGTTGGTCCTGATTGTAACTAGATGCAAACTTAAAATTTAAAAATCTAAAATAGATTCATGTTTCACTAGTCTATCTACTAGTTGTTGGTAATCAACCTTGTCTATGCTTAGTTGTTCTCGGCAATATATTGACCTTTTGTTTAGTGATACAGTTAATAGGGCTCTCAGCTGACTAGTTGGTCAACTAGTTTACACTTTGATAGTCATGGTACTGTTATCTTATAGCTGAATCATAGTAGAGCATGGGTGAGCATTAGGTTACACTTGGATCTGGGTGGAATTGGATGAGCAATTCTCACTGCATGCTATTGTCAATCCAATCTTATATATAATATTTAAACAAAATGATTGACAAGGTGGTACTTTGATTTTGCTGTAAAGGGTGTCTAGATGTGTGTTACCCTGATCCATTAAATGCTTGAATCTAATATATAAATTACACAGGTATGTTACTCTCTCTCTCTCTGCATTCTCTCTTCCTTTACATGAAATTCCACCCAGTGATTTAAAAGGCGTGCCTGGGCGCATAGGCGAGGCACATTTTAGGGTATGTGCCTTGCCCAGGTCCTAGGCGCACCCCTTGGTGCACCTTTTTAAAATTATGCGCTTTTTGCTTTTTTTTGAGTCCAACGGCTGGGTTAGGAGAACTTCCTATTTGCTAATATTGTTCATTCATTCATTCTAAATAAAATATCTTCTTAAAAGGCAATTAAAGTTATAAAATCATTGTTTTTATGTAAGAATTTAAGATCCTAACATGTATTTGCTCGGGCTTGCTTTGAGGGACGTGGCACAAAGGTGACTCATAGAATAAAAAATGCAATATGTTTTATATCACATTAGCTACTTGAAGTAATGCAAATGAGGAAAAAAAAAGAGATTGTAGGTTTTACATGCTTGAAAATGCTTTATATGTTTGCTTTTATTTTTAAATTTTCATTTGAATACGTTTTACATGTTATGTTTATGTATTTTAATTTTAGATAATAGGTTTTTTAAAACATTTAATTTAAAATTTAAGTTTATATCTTTTATTAACATTATGTTTATTGTTTTTTGATTTTTTAATTTTTTTGGCAATTTTTGAATTTTCTGACATTTTCTAATTTTTTTACTTTTTTTACTTTTTTTTTGTATTTTTGCACCTTGCTTCAAAAAGGCGCGCGGCTTGCCTTGTGCCTTGCACTTCAGGTGCAAATTGGCCCTTGCGCTTTTTTTTTTGTGCCTTGTGCTTTTAAAACACTGATTCCACCATTTTGGTTTCTCTATCTCTCTCTACATTGTTTGCTTTAGAAGTTATTGGGTTTTAACCCTCCAATTCTGCAGGGTGCTGTATTTGATAATTGATAGTTCCTTAGTGGGAATTGTCTTACCATTTACCATCTCCTGTTTGTTTGCCTTTTGTATTTGGGAGTGTTTTTTCTCACTCTTTGTTGTAGGTGCACACTTCCACGAGATGTGGTTGAATTGTTTTCTCCATCTGCATGAGGTATGAAGGGTGGATCATGCGGAGATGTTTGTAGGATTGTTTCTATTTGGATGGTTTAAGAAGAAAGAAGTGGAAGGGTCTTCAATGAGAAGAGTTGTTCCAAGGAAGCAATATTTGAGCACATCAAAGTTAAGGTAGTTCATTGGCTGAAGATGGTGGATAATCTTGCCCCATTCTTAGTGTATGACATACTTAGAGGTTGGAGTGTGGTAGCAATCTCATCTGCTAAGAAATTAAGGTATCAAAGGAAGTGGGAACCGCCTTCAAGAAATCACTTAAAATTTAATTTTAATGGATGCAGCTTCGGCAAATGGTGTCCGCCAGGACCAGGAATAATGGGTGTGTTTAGAGATGCATTTGGATGGATTTTAGCTTTGTTCTCAGCCTGCTTGATAGCGGTTACTCAATAAGAGCAGAATTACTTGCTGCCCTGCAAGGATTGAGGTTGGAAAAGATGACGAATTTCAGAAATTCTATGGTAGAAGGGGGATTCTAAAGTAGTGGTGTGCTGGTTGATGAATAGAACACAGCAATGTGGCAATTCAGACATGTCAATAAGGAGATTAATTGGCTGACAAGATAGTTAGTGGCAAATTTTCAATGGGTGCAAATGTCCTCAAATGCCATGGCTGATGCTTTGGCTAAACAAAGGGTACAAAGAGAACAATTTGGGCTAAAATGTAACATTACTAATTGTTTGGCACGGGCACTTGTTTTGACCTATTGGCAAGGCCCAGAAATTGTATATACATGTTTTTTGTTTAACTCAGCAATAAAAATTTTGTTATCTATCAAAAAGAAAATTTTGATGATTCCATGGAGGGGCTAGATATTTGGAATCCTCAAAGATGATCCAAGCACAACCATGTAAGTACAGCTAGTTCTGTACCATGTCCTTGCACACTTAAAGGATATAGGTGAATGTTTTGCATATTTAATCTTGGTTTTCATGGCAAATGTTAGACTTTCTTTGATAAAGTAAAATCTTCCCATGTTCAACACAAAAATTGGGGAAAATGCACCATTTATTTTTGTTCGTATTATATGAGGTGCTGATGATTTTGAATATATTATAGGTTCTAGAAGGTGTCATCAAGTACAGGTGGAATGCTTTGCCTGTTGAACAACGAGATGGAATGAAAAATTACATTTCAGAAGTCATTGTGCAGGTATGTGTGATACTTTTTTTTGAATTATTTGTAAATGACATGCTGTTTTAACTTATTGCCATTGCTTCTGTTGCTTTGATAATTGATTATAGCTTTCAAGTAATGAAGCATCTTTTCGGCGGGAAAGGCTTTATGTCAATAAACTCAATATCATATTGGTCCAGGTAGTAAACATTCTCTATTAGTGTTGCTCATCTTCACGTCTTACTTTTTTTTTACTTTATGTTGCCCAATTGGTTGAATTATGAGTAGGGTTCAAGTATGCTGATCATGGTTAATTCTATTATCTTATTTTCATGGGGAAATCTTCATTCATATTCTAAGCTTATCCTTTGTAATGCTTCCTCCATTTTTTCTACATCTTTTATTATGTCCTGCCTTTTGTTTTCCTTGTACATCTGATTCAATCTACTTATCTTTCTACAAGACTTCTTTTCTGCATTCACAATCGTTTAGCTTTGATATTTCTTCAAATTTTCTGGTCTCTTCTACATCACTTTACTCAAAAATTGGTTATTGTTATTATATGTGATTTTGAGAATACAGATTCTGAAACATGAGTGGCCAGCAAGATGGCGAAGTTTTATTCCTGATCTTGTTTCAGCAGCAAAAACTAGTGAAACAATATGTGAAAACTGCATGGCTATATTGAAGGTAACCTCCTACGCTCTCTCTTTTTTGTACTGAGATCTAATCTACTGCTTTTGGAGGGTAACGGGTGCTATTACTTAACAGCTTCTCAGCGAAGAGGTTTTTGATTTTTCAAGAGGGGAAATGACTCAGCAGAAGATTAAGGAGCTTAAACAGTCACTTAATAGGTAAACATGTAGTGTGCTGACACTTGTTTTTTGGTTAATCCTGTTAAAGCATTGCCAATACTTTTTGATAGGTTATAAGTCATTAACCTTGGTTAATGTTTCCTCTGGTAACTAAAATTGGGAGGGGGTGTAGTTAGTTGTGCTCATATAATCTTTTATTTTCTTGTGAATGGTCTTTTTGATTGATAACCAAAAAACATTATTGATTATTAAAAGAATAGGTATGCCTTGCACATCTGTTTGGTAGATCAGAGTCATCGGATCAATCTGTTGACCCCAGTACAGCTGATTTCTGTGGATTCCTTGCCTATCTTGTGAATGTTTGATCCATATCCTTGCACAAGCTTAGTTTGGAATTTAGCAGAATTTTATCTCTCCAGAAATGGATACAGGGTCTAGTTCCATTTGTTACTTTAGTGGTGCAACGTGGGCAGGCTTGGGTGGAGAATTTGTTAAAATTTGAATGGGCCTGGCAAGAAGGCGTGCAGGCCCAGAAAAACATACAAAATATTAACCTATGGCTGCCCAACTCCCTGCACTTGCATTGGTTGATCTTCATGAAAACTTTTACAGCACCTGTCTTTTTCCCTCTTTCCACCTCTACCCCTCCTCTGGTTCTTTTAAAGCTTCTCTTCTGCTTGGATTCCACCTCATTGCCAAGGATGCCATCTTCTTTCTTTTTTACTACCTCTGCCTCTTTCATTACTTTGTGTTCTGCACCTTCACATTATAATCCATATAACTGACTTAAAATCTCCTTGGCATTTGCCTTCCCTTTACAATAAACCGATTGACTTGCTCAGTGGTACACAATGTTTTAAAAGTGCAAGGCACAAAAAAGGCGCAGGGGTCAATTTGCGCTGAGGCACACACCTTTTTGAAGCAAGTCGCAAAAATACAAAAAAATGCTAAAAAATAAAAAAAGTCAGAAAATTAAAAAAATGCCAAAAAATTAAAAAAGATATTAAACATAATATTAATAAAAATATAAACTTCAATTAAAATTAAAAAACCTATTATCTAAAATTAAAATACATAAACATAAGATGAAAAACATATTCAAATGAGAATTTAAAAATAAAATCAAACATATAAAACATTTTAAAGCATTAAGTCCTCTAATCTCTTTTTTCACTCAATTGCATTACTTCAAGTAGCTAATGTAATGTAAAACATATTACATTCCTGATTCTACAAGCCACCTTTGCTCATTCATTCATCCTAATAAAATGTCTTCTTAAAAAGCAATTAAAATTATAAAATCATTACTTTTTGTGTGAAAACTAAGAACTTAAGACTTAACGTGGGCTTGTTTGGGCTTGCCTCGAGGGGCGTGGCACGGGGGTCCAGCGGTTAGACCTGTTCATGGGCCGGGCCGGGTCGGGCTCGGGCCGGGTCGGGCTCGGGCCGGGTCGGGCTCGGCCTGATTCC